TATTTATATATATATATTTTTTTTTTTTTTTTTTTTTTTTTTTTTTGAATAGTTTTTTAGTAAAAAAAACATAAAAATTTTGCTTTATTAAAATAGTGTGTCAAATGTATTGAGATTAAATATATACTTTAACTAAAATTTTTTTTTTTTTGTGTTTATAAAGAAATTATACAATACATCATATATTGAAATGAAAAATGTTTACAAATTAAAATTAGTTAAATGAAATGGAAAAAAAAAAAAAAAAATTTATTTATATATATATAAAAAGAAGAGTAAAAAAGATAAATTAAGAAGGTAGTTTTTATATCTATTAATTTATCTTAATAACAAATTTTTTTAATATATAAAAATATGTATCACTTTATATTTTTTTTTTTTTTTTTTTGTTTTTTCCATTTTTACCAATTAACATAAAGTATAATTATACTATTACTTTTAAAAAGTAAATGAAATGAATTTATATTTTTCTTTTATTCTTTTATTTTTAAATAGTTCTTTAATTATTTTATGTTTTAAAAGTAATAAGAGCTTAAAATTAATTTCTGATATCAATAAATTTAAAAAAATAAAAAAAAATTTTAACAATCAATTATATTCATCTAATGAAAATTTGAAATTATTAAAATATGTAAGGAAGGTGACGAATGCAAGTATTCAAGTTTGCAATAATGCCCTAAAGAATTGTAATAATGATGTAAATAAAGCCATAGAATATGTTAGAAAAAATGCAAAAAATGTATCTATATCAACAAACATTAAAACACAAAAGGAAGGTTTAATTGGTTCAAAAATTAAAGATGATAAAATTGCTATATTAGAAGTATTAACTGATTCTGATTTTGTTTCTACAAATAAAAATTTTGTTAACTTTGTAAAGAACTTATTAAATGTCATATTGATCAATGATAATACTAACAATATATTAGACTTAGAATATATTGATGAAAATAATAACTTGATGGGAACCGTTGGAGATCAGTTGAATTATTTAAGAAATATATTTCGTGAAAATGTAAAAATAGGGAGATATACAAAATATATAAAAAAAAATGAAAACGAATTTTTGCATTTTTATATTCACAATGTAGTTGAAGAAAATGTAGGATTGTCAGGTGTTTTACTAGTTATGTATATTGATAATTTAAAAGAAAATTTAAAAATAAAAAAACAGCATATTGCTAATATCACAAATGATTTGGCGATGCATATAATATCTGCTAAACCCATTAATATTTCAGTTGATACCTTAAGTGAAAAAGTTATAATGAGAGAAATGGAGGTTATTAAACAATCATTAAAAGATATAAATAAACCAGAAAAAATTTTGAATAATATGATAAATGGAAAAATGAAAAAATTCTATAGTTCTGTAGTTTTACTAGAACAGGTATAAATTATATAAATAATAAAAATAATATAGGAAAAAATATGATACTTCATTTTTTTCTATTTTGATACTTTTATTTATTTTTCTTAAAATCACATTTACTATATTCATATACGTTGTGTTTTTCCCAAAAGTTTCATTTTTCATTTATTATATATATATATATATATGTTTAATTATTTTATACATAATATTTTACTCACTTTTTTAGGAATATATGCTCGATGAATCTAAAAGAAAAGTTTACCAAGTTATTAAGGATTTTTCTAAAGAACATAATATAAATATAAATGTAGAATATTTTAATTATCTATCAGTAGGAGAAAAAAATATTTTAATAGAATAAAGAAATTTATGTTATTTGAACATAATTATGTCTACTTGTTTGATTATTTTTTTTTTTCATAAATAAGTTTTTTTAGTAAAATTTTTTGAAATTTTTAAAAATTGAATCATAATAACATAGGGAATATATGAAGACATTTAAGTACTATTATTAAAAAACATATATAAATAAGAATTATAATTTATTTTAAATAAAAAAATACTTTGAAAAATTATTTTTATTCAAATATTCAGAAATAGCAGTTTTTGCACAATAAAGTATATAATTAAGTCTCTGTTTTTATAAAAAAAAAAAAAAAAAAAAAAAGAGTCATAATTTTTTATTTTACATTTCCAACCTATTGATATAAAATATCATTTTAAATATATTAATCTTTTAATATACTAATAAAAATGTTTGCTTTATTTTTTTACTTAATATTCAAGATTTTTATCCTTTATAAAATGAATGAAAATTGATTAAATTACAGTAATTATTTTTAGGATAACATTTTCATAACAATTATAGAATTATATAAAGTTTTTTTTCATAATGATATTAATGTATTTCTACTTTATTATTTTAAAAATAGTTTTTTGAATTAAGTTTTTAACAATTTATTTTTTAGTAACAAAATATAAAATGGTGGGAAAAAAAAAAAAAAAAAAATGAATCTTATTAAAATAAATAATATAATATAAAAGGAAATATTTTTATATAAGATTCTAAATGATACAATAATTTTGTATAATTTGAGAATTGGATCAAATTATTTATATGAGCATTCTAAAATTACATAATATAGAATTGCCTTAAATTATAATATGGAAATGTTATGATAAAAAATTAAGAATTAACATAAAATTTTATAATTCTGCTAAAATTGTATTATGTCTTCATTTTAATAACAAAGAATATGAGATATAAAACATAAAAAAAAATATATTTTATATACTGTTTTTTTTTTTTTTTTTTAAAATATAGAAAATAATATAATATCTATATTTACATTTAAAAATTAATTCATATAAAAATTTGAATCAAAATTTTTTATGGTATATTAATTTAAAACTATAAAAAAAAAAAAAAAAAATAAATTAAATATTGCAAAAAATAAAAAAGAATAAAAATAAATTAAAATGAAATATCCAAACAAATAAAAAGTAACTAAAAATAAATATATAAAGAGAAGTAAAAAATTATCAGAATATTTTCATAATATTTCTCGTTTAAATTTTTTATTGTTTTCTTATAAAATTTAAAATTTTTTTTCAAAAATTTTCATTTTATTTAATTCATTTGCAAACTGGATTTCTTTAGATAAATGTTTTTTTATTGAATAAATTATTATTGAGAATAATCTCTTTATAAAAATAAACTTATAAATTTTTTTTTTCTGTTTATTTCCTTTAGTATTTTTTTTATTCATTTTTCTTATTTATAAGATTTTAATTTTAACGATTTTTCATGGATTATATGTATATCTTTTAAAATTTAAAAAAAACTTAAAATTGAAAAATTATTTTACATGAATCTGATGATTCACTAAAATTTATATTCATCTTATCTTTTAAAATAAAATAAAGTTTTAATATGTAATGGAGGAATGAAAAAAAAAAAAAAAAAAAGTAACAAGATAACAAAATAACAAAATAACAAGATAACAAAATAACAAAATAACAAGATAACAAAATAACAAAATAACAAAATAACAAATTAACAAAATAACAAAATAACAAAATAGAAATGAAAATTGTGTAATGCAAATATAACAGTATTAAAATGAAAAGAAATATATAATTTAACATACTGATATCAATGAAAAGGAGATAATTTTTTTTTTTAAAATATGTATACAATAAATTTTGTAGAATTTTTTTTCAATTAGAAAAATAATAAACATATAAATTTTACTGAAAATATTTATAATATATAGCAAAAAAAAAAAAAAAAAAAGTTTCATTAATTTAAAAATTAATATATATGCTATTTAAATCTTTAATGTCTCCATTTGTTTTTTGCAAAGAATGGGAGAACAAATTCTTTATGATAACTTTCCTTTAATATTTTTGAACAATGATGAAAATGAAAATTTTGATGATAAAAATGAAAGGGATTTCCGAAAAGAAATAAAAAATATTATAGAAAAACTGAAATTATTACGAATTGAAATAAATGAAAAATATTCAATAAGGAGTGTACTTGAGGAAAAACTAACAATATTACAAAAGGAGGAACATGTAAAACAAAATAATATGAAATATATCATGAATTTTTCTGAAAATAATTTATATGAAAGAGAAGTTTTAAATTATAAAAATAATATAAAATATTTAAAAAAACAAATTAAAAATAGTACATGTAAAATAAAATTGCTATTAGAAAAAGAATTTAAAGTGAGGAAACAATTGCAATTAAACTATATGGCTTTATACGATTTATTAAGTGAGCGTATTAATTACATTTTAAATGATTATATAAAACATAGAAAATGCTCTTGTGCTATTTATGCATATCAACAGGAAAATAAAAAAGTATAATAAATGTTAAAAAAGGTGGAAATAATAACTTTTACATAATACTAGAAAAATAATTTATATACAACTTAATCTACTAAAATCATTATATAATCCCCATATATTTGTTTTTTGTTTTTGTCTATTTTCTTTTTATTTTTTTTATTTCATTTTTTTTTTTTTTTTTTTTTTTTTTTTTTTTTTTTTTTTTTATTTTTTTTTTTTTTTTTTTTTTTTTTTCATAATATATATATATATATATATATAAATATATGTATATATATATGTATATATATATATATATATATATTTATTTTTTTTTAATTTTTTTTTTTTTTTTTTTTTTTTTTTTTTTTTTTTTTTTTTTTTTTTTTTTTTTTTTTCTTTTTTTTTCTTATATTTTTTTTTTTTTTTTTTTTTTTTTTTTTTTTTTTTTTTTTTTTTTTTTTTTTTTTTTATGGTAATAAAATTTTTTTTTTTTTTTTTTTTTTTTTTTTTTTTTTTTTTTTTTTTTTTTAGTTTATATTTATTTAATGATTACATATTGAAGTAATTTTTTTTTAATTATTTTTTATAGAGTACTACTTTTGGTATTGCTTTATACTATTTATATTCTTAAAATTGTGTAATTTTTTTTCTATTCTATAGATTCATATAAAAAAAAAAAAAAATACATATATATTTATTTGTATATAATTTTAATACGTAAATTATTTTATTTTATTTTTATTTTATTTTATTTTATTTTATTTTTTTTTTATTTATATTCTAGATAGTTGTAAAATTAAAATTAAAACTAATAAATTAATTTTTGATATAAAAATTATGAAAAATTAATTGTACTAAAAAATTATTAAAACAAAATAAAAAGAAGCATAAGTTTTATTAATTTAATTAAAAGATAATTTCATCTAATTATATATATAAAATTTTTTACTAAAAACAATATTTAGAATTTTATATATTTCTTTAAGCAAATAAAATATATATGTATGTTCACATAAAAACATAAGAAAATTAATGGAAAAAAAGAATTTTAAAAAAAATATATTTTTTTTTATTTTTTTTGATAAATGAGCAATATTTTTTAGAATATAGAAAAATATGAAATTATTTTTTCTAAGTATTTCAAAAAATTGAAAAATATCTATGTATATTTTATATAAAAAATTTAAATTTTCTTTTAAATTAAGATAATAAATAACTTTATTATATTTTTCATTATTGTTTACGTTGTTGTCTTTGTTATTATCATTTATTATATTATTATCTTGATTATTAATACTTATATTGTTTTTTACTGTTCTATTTTTTGATGTATTATGTTTTGTATAATTTAAATAATTATATGTATTACTTATTTTTAAATCAGTGTTAATTTTATTAAAATGGTTACTTAAGTTGTTACAGCGATTATTAATATGTTCTAAAATGTTTTTTTCAGTATAGAAATGTTTTTTCAAGGTATGATATACATTTATAGAATGCTCATGGATTAATGTAATTACACATTTTAAATATATGAAATAAAATTGTTTTACAGAAAAATTATCATTTTGTTTTTCTTTTTTTTTGTTTTTTATTTTATTGAAAGAAATTAAGATGCTATATATATCAGGATTTTTGTTAATAGAAAAAATATGAAAATTATTAGTAATCCACTTTTTATGGTTAATTATACATTTATAATATGACTTATTCTTATTCAGATATCTTCTTATGAGGTGATTATTAATTTTCGTATGTTTATACTTTTTTTCATATTTAATCTTGGTTATCATGTAGTGTTTTTTTAAAAACTTTAATTCTTTCATAAAATAGCAGTCAAAATCACGAAATAGAGTTATAACTGTTTTCTTTTTTTTTTTTTTTTTATTAGAACAACTGTTTTGAAATAATAAAGGAATAATTAAATTATAAAATAATTCATGAAAAAAAAAATTGTAATTACAAATGCAATAAAAGATATTTCTTAATGCATTTGTGTAAAAACTGAAATAATAATTTTCATTATAATATTTACTTAAAAACTTTATCATGTCTTTTAAGGTAGTTTTGAAATTTATTAAAAAAAATTTTATTCTATTATACAAAAAATAAAAGTTAATATCTTCTCCATAATTTTTTTTTCGTAAAAATATATAAATTTCTAAATATGTATTTTTTATATATATAGATTTATTTCTTATAGTTGTATTCAAAAAGTAATTTTTATTTACATTATCCATACAATTTTTACAAATAGCTAACTTATTTAAATTCTTTTTTGGATTGCAATAGTTATAATTATTACAAATGCTATCAGAATATGTATTATTTATATTATCAACGTTATGATAAAAACTACTATATTTTCCAATTTTTGTAACAATACTGTTATTTTTCTTTTTATAAGGATTATTAAATTTACAACAATGCAAATAATTATTATTATATACATTATAAATTTCATAAATATCGCCACAATTGTAATAATTTTTTCTATAAAATTTATAATCATTTGGGAATATATGTTTATTATATGATTTCTGAAAAATTAATGAATTCAAATTATAGGTGTACATGTTTTTTTTAAATATCACAAAAAAAAAATTATTTAAATATTCAATTAAGAAATAGTATATCTTTTGAATGTAAAGTAAAAGATACATATTATGAAAAGCATAGTAGTAAATATTTTTATGTAAAATAATTTTATACTTTTTATAAAAATTTTTTTTCATTGAATAAAGCTTTGAATGGAAATTATTTTTTATTTTTTTTTTTTTTTTAAAGCAAAAAAAGAATAGAAAATTATATAGAATAAAAATATGAGATGCAGCCATATAGTTGTGTGATTTACACTCTAAAATTTTAAAAAATGAATCAAAATTCTTATTTAAATATTCTAGAAAATTTTTCAATATAACATATTTATGCTTATTCCTATTTTTGTAATAAATAACATTATATCCAAAATCCAATAAACTATTCTCATTCCTCTTATTATATAATTTTTCAATTATATGTTTTTTAAAACCTCCTTTTTTATTATATATTTTTGTCTTAATTATATTTTTCGTAAATATTAATTTCTTTTTTTTCTTATATATTTTATATTTGTTTGAACTAATAATTATTCTAAGAAAAAATAAAAAAATATTTGAAGTATTTCTTTCATTCTTGCCATTCTTTATAATTTTACAATTTTCTTTCAAATACATATCAACGTAAAAATAAAAAAGAATATTTTTTATATTCCAGATGTAATGACATTTCGCATCTATCTTTGCAAGTTCATCTATAAAATAACTTATTTTTTCATGAAAACTCAAGGTTTTATATTTTTTTAACAGACTAATTAAGTAATAATATAAATTATAATAATTAATATTATATATAAGGCATATATATATACAAATTATAGTAAAAGAACACTTTTTTTTTTTTTTTTTTTCAATATAATTTGTCTCAATAATAGATAATCTTTTTTTTTTTTGACATTTTTTCATATTTTTGTATTTAGCAACATAGCAATTATTTGTTAATTTTTTATAATTATAAAAAAATTTGTAATAGAAGAGTTTTAAATATTTCCTAAAATAAAGAGGAGAAAAAATATTCTTCCTTAAAAAATAAGTAATCTTTTTCATACATTCTATTGAAATGAATTTATTTTTATATACATATTTTAATAAAACATACAAATGACAAAAATTATTTTTTTTTATATTCATTATAGAGTTTTTCGAAAATGATAAACTACGATATTTGTTATGAAAGGATTTAAAAAGACAAAAACTTTTTAATAGTTGTTCATTAATTTTTAAATTAGATATTTTATAATCCATATTAAAGAATTTCATGTAATTAGCACATATTTCATTAAGGTAAAACAAAGTTTCTTTGCATAAAATTAAAACTTTTTTTTTTTCATTTTTTTTTTCTCCATTTCCATTTTCATTAAAAATATATATATGGAATAAATGATTCTTAAGTAATTTTTGTATATCTTTAATTTTTACTTTATTAAAATGTATATATAAGATATCATACAATTCCTGATAATCATTAAAGAATATGTTATTTTTATTTTTTTTATTGAGAATGTTGGGCTTTCTTAACCTGTTTTTCTTTTTCTTTGAGGAATTTGTTGTGAAAAATAATAAAAATAAAAAAAGAAATAATATTTTGTCTTTCTTTTTAATAATATTATTTTCATAATGTAACAAAGATAATATATATGTAGAAAAGGATAAAAAAAAATTTCTGTAATACTTGAATTTATTTTTTTTTTTTAATTGATTATAGTAAAAAAATAATATTTTTAAAATGTTATCGTTCCATTTATATGAATGATTATCTAAACATATATCATGTTTATTAAAATATATTTTAAAATCTGTCTTCTTTTCTCTTAATATAATTCTGAAGAAATTTAAAAGTAATTTGTCATTTTCAATTTTGTAAAAATTTATATTTTTTGAGTAAAATAGATTATTTACATTTAATTCGTTACATGAACAAATTTCTATTGTGTAATTTTTTGAGTGTTTAACTAATAAATATTTAACAAGTCTTCTTAAAATGTAATATGTCAAGACATTTTCGAAAAAAGAATAAGATTTTAATATTTTATTATTAACTAACAAAAATGTTTCAAAATTTATCATGATTCAGATTTTATTAAAAATAGATAAAAAAAAAAAAAAAAAAAAAAAAAAAAAAAAAAAAAAAAAAAAAAAAAAAAGGTAAAATATAATATATATATATATATATATATTTAAAATGGAAAATAAAAAATAAATTCANTTTAAATTTTTTTAAAAAAAAAAAAAAAAAAAAAAAAAAAAAAGGTAAAATATAATATATATATATATATATATATTTAAAATGGAAAATAAAAAATAAATTCAAATAAAAGTATTAAATTAGAAAATAACAGTTTAAATAATCTATCATATTATGTAAGTAGAAATATAATAATAAATTAAAATATACATAAATTAAATATTGTGAAAAGAATAAAAAAAATAATAAAATTTAAAAGAGTCGAGATATTTATTAAATTAAAAAAAAAGTTATATATACCTTAATCTAAATGATTAATTTAATAAATACTCTCATTTATATTTACGTAATCAGTTAGTTTTTTTATGTATATTATCCATTTATGTAAAAAGTGGATTTTCTCAAATGAATTTAAAAATTTTTTTTTTTTTTTTTTTTATTTTTTTTATTTGGATTACTATAATAATAATTATTAAGTAGTATATTTTACATTATAAGATTAATATATTTAATTTTTTATGTTATATCTAAATGAAACTTTATTTTTTCAAAATATGAAATTATACTTTTTTCTATATAAAAATATTTCAGATGTAAAATACAAAGTATACTGCTTATCTGAAGATAGCATATATTATTTTTAAGTGTGAGTATAATTATTTTAATAATAGCAATTAAAATATAACAATATAATTAACTTTTTATTTTGCATTAGAAGAAAGGGTTAATGCTAGAACCACTATATTGTTTTGAGGATATTTAATTTTAATGATTTAACAGATGTATTGCATGTTTTATCATTACATCGACAGTTATATGTAAAAATATTTTTAAAGAAAAAAAAAAAAAATAAAGTAAAACAGATTAAAAAGTAAAAGAAATAGGTAAATAAAGTAAATAAAACAAAACAAAATATATCTTATAATACAATTCATATAAAAATAAGATAATGAAAAACTACCAAAACATAAAGAATTAAAGTAATATATAAATGAATAGTACATATAAATAACATAGAATATTTAAGTATTATTCATAATAATTTTATTAATTTTTTTGTTTCAAATTTACACTTGATTTTTATTATTTTATATAAATTTCTTTATGTGTATTTTGCATTTCTTTAAATGAAATTAATATATAAATTATATTTTTGTAAAACTGTTTCTATAAGATGTATCAATTTAAAATAAAAATAAAAAATATGATTCTTTTTTTTTTTTTTTTTTTTTTTTCATATTAAATGTTTTATTTTTTTTTATAATTAGTTGCTAAGTTTTTGCCCACTAAAAATATTATTTTTTATTTTATTTTTTTTTTTTTTTATTTTTTTAGAATGCATCAAATATATATAAGAAAAAATATAATTGAATGTTTTTGGTATACTAAATTTTATTATATAGGATATCTATTTTTGTTATGAAATTTTCGTATTTTAAATTTAATGTTTTTTTATAATCATAAAACTTTTGTTATTTCTATACAAAAAAATGTACTCTTTCAAAATTATTTTTTGTAACTAATTTATTAAAAGTAAAATAATATAAAAAAATGATATATAGAAAGATATTAAATTCAAATTTAATTTATCCGTTGTTACTAAAAAAATTTACGACAGAAACCCAGTAAAATGCTCTTAATATTTTGTAATGCAAAAAAACGAAAAATAAGTTCTAGAATGAATCTTCAAAAATACATGATATTCTATATTTATTGAAAAAATTATATGATAATAAAAACACATAAAAATAATAACGAAGAATAATATTTAAGAAAATTATTATTTTCATGATTGTTTTATCCATTTATACACTTTTATTAGTATCATTTAAATTAATCAATGGTTAGTTTACGCAAAAATTATATATTTCTATTTTCTAAATAAAAAATTTGTGGATAAGTATTTTGTAATAAAATAAATGTATAATTTGTACATTTATTAACTAATATTTTATTTTTAATGAAAAGATGCTTTTTAGAACGTTTTTTTTTTTTTTTTATGTTCTGTAGATATAGAAAAAATTAAAAAAAAGCATATATATAAGTATATGAAAAAATAATAAACGTTGTACGCTTTAGGAAATTTATAATTCAAAGGATAAATATTTATTAGTATATTATATACCATTATTATATACACATATAAATATATTTTTTTTTTTTTTTTAAACAGGAGCATCATATTCTGAAGATAGTACAAAAAAAAGATCAAGGCTATTGACATTACCAGGTAATTTCTAAAGGATAAAAAAAAAAAAAAAAAAAAAAAAAAAAAAAAAAAAATATTCAAATAGAAAAATATATTTCATATTGTAATATTTTATTTATATACGAAATGTAATAATTTATTTTTTATATAGCTAATTTTTTTTCAAGCCCTAGGAAGAAAAAATTATTTTCTTCTTATAATTCTTCTAACTCTGAATCATCCAGACCACGTATAAAATTAAGAGAAAGGTTTAGATCTCATAGCGAATGTGAAAATACTTCACATAAAGATGATTTAAATTTTGGTGAAAGTTCTTCAAATGAATCATATTTAAGTTTATCTTCACTGGAAGATGAATTTGAAGAATCGCAAAAATTGGGTTTAATCCCGAAAACCAAATTGCCAACTAGTTATGATTTTTATTTAAGTGATGAATTGACAAGTAATATTAATCAGAACATTTTGTTTCAAAAACCTTATCAATGTAATCTCAATAATGATAACTCAGAAGAAGATGAAAAAAATAAAACTTCATCAAATAAGATTTTTTCTCTTAATAGAGGAATGTTTAATCTTCAAACGAAAAAAGATAATACAGATAAAGTTAAAAGTTTAGATAAAAATGAAAGTAAAAAAAATTATTTTGCAAGACCTTTATCTTTTATAAGAAGAAGAAAAAGTAATAGTAATTTTAGAATTAGAGATACATCACATTTGCAAAGTAATAATGATTGCAAAAAAGATTACAAAAATTATGCAGTTAGAGGTATATTTACATGGGCTAATAAAGATGTTGATATGCTTAGAACTCGCCCACATAGAACGTGTAGTTTAAGTTCTCATGTGGAACGTAATCTTAATTTAAAAGAAGAAAATGAAGAATTAATAGAATTGTATGCTTCATGTATTAATGAATTAAACAAACTTAAAAACGAAGATAATTTAGAAAGTAGGATAAATGAAGACAATTGTTTTTTTGAAGTGCCTGAAAATAAAGACGTAGAAAGAAAAAAATTTATGAAAAGCAAAAGTGAAGAGTTAAAAAAAATGTCTTCAATTTTTAGAATGTACGAAATTAAAAAAAAGGAATCTAAAAAAAACATATTAACCCGCTCATCTTCTCTTAGAGGACATGATAAAGGTATCTTTGATGACAATATTAATATAAGTTTGACATTTAAAAAAAAATTAAAGGAAAATAAAGAAGAAAATACTTCAGGTGATAATGTTAGTGAGCATTCATGCTGCATAGAATCAATTGACAATTGTTAAAAACATGTAACATAAAATATATATACAATTATAAAAATAGAGATAATAAGGAAAATATGATAATATAAATAAATTTGGAAAAAAATATAAAAGAAAATACTTTTAAAAAAATTTAAAATATAATTGGACGATACATATAATATCTCATAAATGAAAAATATAAAAAATGAAAAAATTGTTTTTACCTTTTTTTTTTTTTTTTTTTTTTTTTTTTTAACTTTATTTTTTTAATTTTTATTTTATTT